ACCATACACAGAAAAGTCATCCATAAAAACCTCCATAAACTTCCCAATGAAATCCCCAAAAATAGCAAGCATGCATCTCATAGAGGTAGCAAAGGTACCGAATAGACATGTAAAAGTGGTCTTATCCTGGTCCTCGGGGGCTATGGGGATCTGGAAGTATCTCGACATCCCGTCAAGGAAACAGTAAAACTTATGCCCTGCTAGCCTCTCTAAAATCTGATCAATGAAGGGGAGGGGGAAGTGGTCCTTCCGGGTGGCGGCATTCAACCTTCGGTAATCAATGCAAACCCGCCAACCGGTGACCGTACGTGTAGCAATCAACTCATCTTTCTCATTCCTAACCACAGTCATCCCCCCTTTCTTGGGAACCAGCTGCGTCGGGCTGACCCAGGGGCTGTCTGAAATTGGATAGATAATTCCTACATCTAACAGACGGATGACTTCCTCCCTGACCACCTCCTGCATATTAGGATTCAGTCTCCTTTGTGGCTGCACTACCGGTTTAGCATTATCTTCCATCAAAATTTTATGAGTGCAGAAAACAGGACTGATTCCTTTCATGTCTGAAAGTTTCCGGGCTAGAGCTTCCCTTTGTTCACAAAGTAAGTCGAGACATGCAGATTTTTGGGATGGCTCAAGCCCGGATGAAAGAATAACAGGGAGGTCAGAACTATCATCTAGAAACACATACTCAAGGTGGGAGGGAAGAGGCTTTAGATTTAATGGAGAAGGAGTAACAATGGAAGAATCAGTCTGAAAGTCTTCGTTCTCCACCTTATCTAAGTCATCTTCCTTCCCCCTCACATCACTAGCATCACTTGAGTCCTCCTCCCCACCAAGCATAAGACAATCAAAACTAGGGAGGAGCTCAAGATCCTCTGCTGACAAAATATCATCCAAAAGAAGATCAAAGAAGGCTTCATCAGAAAGCATGTTAGGAATGCAATCCTCCACCAAAGAATCAACCACATCCATGTAAAAACACTCACCACTATCTTGACAGGGCCTCTTCATTATTTTGGACATGTCAAAGATGGCAGACTCATCCCCAACGCGGAGGACAACCTTACCGTCTCCAACATCAATAAGTGCTCGGGCAGTTGCCAAGAATGGTCTGCCCAATTAAACAGTACAAGAAGTAAAAAAAAAAAGAGTACAAATAAGAAATAAAAGTGGAAAAAATAAAATTAAACAAACACTAGACCCAAAGGAAATCTCTAGACTGCGATCTAGTTCTCATGGTGCATGTGGCGCCTCTTTTTCTGCGATCTTTCTAACTTAATTTCAGGGTTCTTGCTTAATCACTTGTTATAGTTTAGTTTAATTTCTGGGCAGAGAATTTTATGTTGAGTGGAGTCACTTGAAAATCCAACACTATGAAATTAAAGAATTCCTACAAATAGTGTCCACAAAAATAAATTGAGATAGATCCAAATTAATGACCATTAACGATTAATATTCACAATTCCTACCTCTATTTTCTTGTTCACCACTCTTCTTGTCGGATAACACTTTTCTATCTTCTAACCGGCCTAGAGAGAACCACATTTGGTGGAAATGACGTTGAGATTAAACGGGTTTTAGTTTGAATTCTCCCCGATAAGAAGAATGTTGAAGAGAAAAGTGGGAGTAGGGGTTGAAGTATTAAACGGACATTTGTTTGAATTCAACCCAATTTAATTTTTTGAACGCTATTGCTAGTTCAAATTATTTTTATGAGTACTCTTAGTAGGGATTGATATTGTAGAATCCCCAAATGTAGAGATTATTTTTAGGAATTTCACCTTTATATTTTAATGGAATGTGGCAGTATGACAATGATTTGCTTCTAACTAAGGAAAACATAATAATGATATTTTGAATAGGGAATTCTGTGATACCTTTTAGGTATCCTATCTTGTGCACGTGAAGATATTGGAATATACTCCGTAGTTAACTATTTAAAATGTAAATAACAAGTTTTCTTTGAATATTATTACTTATAAAATAGTCATGGACAAAAATATTACATTGTGTATGTTCAAAGTTTCCATCGACGAAGTAGCTCACATGTAATTACTATGATGTAAATTATTAGAACAAAATTATAACCACTTATCGTTATTAAGTACAAAGAATATTTTGTCCATCACATTTAATTTAAAGAGTAATATTATAGGATTTTTTCTATAAATAATGAGATGAACTAATGAAATGTATTATACGTAGTATATAATTATTAATGAAGTACTGTAGTATTGAACTTTCGAATTTCACATGTTAAAAGTCATATTTTTGGAATTTCCTTAATAGCACATGCATTATTTGATGATAAAAACCAATTTAACTTTTCATCAATCAGACCGCATATGAACATCACAAAAACAAGTAGTAAACATATGTGTTTACTCTACACAGTTTTATTGATTTATATTAGGAATATTTTACATGTTTAATTTGTTTGCAAGTTATTCATTGAATGTTTAATTTCATAGTGTTGAATTTTCAAGTGACTCCACTCAACACAAAATTCTCTTCCCAGATGATTAAATGGATTAATTAGCAAACTAAACTATAACAAGTGATTAAGCAAGAACCCTGAAATTAAGTTAGAAAGATCACAGAACAAGAGGCGCCACATGCACCATGAGGACTGGATCGCAGTCTAGATATTTCCCTTGGGTCTAGTGTTTCTATTTATTTTATTTTTCCCACTTTTATTTCTTATTGGTACTCTGTTTTTTTTTACTTCTTGTACGGTACTTTTTATTATTATGAATACAATCTTTATTTAAAAAAAAGTTAGAATGATCACTAGTACGTAGATTCCTCAGTCAAACAATTTTAATTTCGTAATAACCTTTAATTAATCAGTTCAATGTGGTCATAGACTCATAATAACAAATCCTAAGCTAGCTATTTGTACGGCAAAAGTATTCATAGAGAGAGAGAGCAAGAGGTTCAAATGAATACATAATAATAGACTTAAAGCCTAAAGGTGTAAAAAACTATTATGTTACCCCACTATACCATATATATGGCACAACTGGTTGTATTTGCGGTTTTAGAATGTGTGCAGATGGTTCCACACGTTAGTGGCCTGGGAAAGTGCAGCCAAGATTGGTTAGAGTGATAAATGTTTGCTATAAATAAGCCAGTTTTTGTTTTTGTTAAAAAAACTGTTTGGGGTAATTTGGGACAAAGGAAGAGTGGGGCGCCGGGTGCTTTATTATTTAACTCTATCTTGGTTTTTATTTATTTTCTTTTAACTCTAGGGTTTCATACACGCCGTTCGCTTTTAAAAGAAAAGATCAGAGAGTATTTGTTTAGTGGGTTTTCTTTTTAAAATTGGACCACCGGTGCTTTTTACTTTTTTCCCAAATTGGAAACGATGTATAATACTATAATGTAGTGCATTAAGCTCACGTTTGAGACTAAATAATAAATAAATAAATAAATAAATAAATAAATAAATAAATAAATAAATAAATAAATAAATAAATAAATAAATAAATAAATAAATAAATAAATAAATAAATAAATAAATAAATAAATAAATAAATAAATAAATAAATAAATAAATAAATAAATAAATAAATAAATAAATAAATAAATAAATAATGCAAGATACATCCATATCTTCTACTTAATAATAAACCACAACTTCTAATTAAGGGAGGTGTATTGTATTAGAAATTAGTGACAAGATTTTAAAAGCCCATGAGTTTTAAAAGTTTAGGTATATTCAGGCTATGTTTGGCAGGCAAAAATCTCTGTCTTCTAGTTTTTCTACTATTTAAAAAGTCTCTAAAATCTTCCAGTTGTATATTTGACATGACAATATTTTAGAACTTTTCAAAAAATAAAAGATTTTTTTTTAGATGCTACAGGGAATAGCATATGAGAAAAGGCGGTGACTTTTAGCATTAATTAATCCAAACAATTTGCAATAGCAAAACAGCTAAGATAACCCATTTTTCTATCCCATAGCCAAACGTTTCTTTAGATCATCCTTCAACGTACTACTTCGTAGAGAGAATTCCCTAAATAGGAGTAAAAACGTTTTGAAATTCCAAAATAAGAGTATCATGTCTTTATTCCCTATATAGGAGTAAATTTCTGCCAAGTTTGGCATTACAAGGCTTTTAAACATGTCATTTTTTTCCAAACTTGGCAAATTACCCCTATTCAGGGAATAAAAAACAGGGTGTTTTCCCAAAAGACGGGAAAAGTGAGCATGGAGTGCAAAAACACGGGAAAAAATCATGGTTTTCTGAAAATACGGGATTCGGAAGTCCCTATTCCGAGTAGATTAGGTTTTTTGTATTAAATCATATTTTAGCCCATTCGGAAGACCCCATTCCGAATATAAAGATTTTTTTTAAACATGGGTTTCCAAATGTTTGTTTTTTACTTTTTAATCTCACCCCATTCCGATAATGCAATTCCAAATGCACGTCAATTCATTTTTTATTTTAACGATGTGAAATGAATTGATATATGTAATTTTTTAAAAATAAGTAATGAAAGTAAACTATATGAAATTAATTGCAAAGTTTAAATGAAATTAATTTCTACTTCATCTATCAAATAAAAATTTCTCACTTTACTTGTTGGTCTGTCCCAAAAAAATTATTGGACTGTCCTAATAAAATTCACTTTATTCCCACTTTCTTCTGTTCCAATCCAAACTAAAGTAGAAACTATTTTATGGGACGGAGAAAGTAATCTTTTTAAATGCAGCTCTTATAATTTTTTAAAAGGGGACAAAATAAAAATAGTGTTGAATTGAAATAATTACATAAACATGACCAAAATAAAGATGGTTTACAAAAATATGACTAATTACTAGAGTAGTAATGAAATCATAGTAATTCATGTTCAAGTTTTGAACTTAAGTTACCACAACATTACGTTGTTATAATAAACAATCATATTTATGTAAATAAGTTTTATTTTAGTAATATTCTTGTAAAAAAACGAATTGAATTTAACATATTAATAAAAATGTGTACATAGAATAATACATTTACGAAAACTATATCTAATCATCCTTATGATAACCCCGGCCAAGAACGTTGAGGTGGCTCCCTGTCCCACGGGTAATAATATTGTGGTGGCTAAAAAATGGAGATTCGTGATGTGAAGAGAATTGAGGCAATGCTTGTTGTTCGTCGTTCCCACCCTCAACTTCATCTCCATTGCCCTCTTCTTCATCTTCTTTATCTCCATAACTCTCTTCCTCATATTCTTCATCTTTATCTCCATCACCTTCTTCCTTGTCTTCTTCATATTCATCTTCATCTCCTGCAATTTCGTGTTTGTCATCGTCTTCATCTATGTCAGCATCTGTCTGTATATGCGGTGCAACATTACCGTGACTACGACCACGGGCGGGGGCGGCATTTTCTTCGACGATATTGCCTAGGAGGAGGCAAGGGACTGGGCTGATTGTCTGCGTCTGGCTATATATATATCCAGGCAAGTCCATTAATTTACCAAGCAACCAACTAAGGAAAGAGGAGCCAACAGACGTTTTGCTTGATACTATATATATGACGGAAGATCAAGAGAAGAAAGTGTGCTTGATCAGAGAAATATAAAGAGACATACTCGAGAAAAATACTAAATCCAAGGCACCTGAAACTACTCTCGGAGTTCTAGATAGAGTTCTTATTCCCTTCTTATATTGTAACTGGGTTATTGAGGAATAGCTAAGTGTAGCTTCCTCGGGTTGGGTTAAGTGTGTAGTGAGAGCTTTGTTGTAAAGCTAAGAAGCTCTCTACCCGCAAGGTAGAGATGCATAACTCTTCCTAGGGAGGATAGAGTTGGGGTGGCTCAAGAGTAGACTAGGAGAGTCTTCCTCATTCAAAGACTTTTTAGTGAATTTGTTTAAAATTCCTCCGAGGGAGGTCGAGGTTTTTTAATCCATTAGAGCCAAGGAATTTTTCCTCGTTAAATCCTTGTGCACTTTACTATTTCGCAATTTCCTTTGCCCCACATGGTTCCGCACACACACAATTCACCCCCCCTCTTGTGTTACTAACCGTTTCATCACAAAGGGAGAAATTAGTACAACTATTTAGGTATGCACACACATAGGCTTCATATTATTCGAAAATTAGTATTCAGAATGGAAAGGGATAAATAATTAAAATACCCCAAACTTTTAAGGAGAGTGAGATAAACATCCCAAACTTTTACATGTAATTTAAATAACCCAAACTTTATATAAAAATTATTTTAACACCATGTTCATGTATCATTTCTTTCAAAATGAAGATTTATGATGTAACTTCATGAATGCTAAAATATTTTAAATTATGAAATTAACAGAAAACTTTGACATTTTTGTATAAAATAATATATGACTGTGGTGCTAAATAAACTTTTTACATAAAATTAAATTTGGGGTATTTTAATTATTTTTCCTCATGAAATGGCTAATGGATACTTTTTTGAAAATACGTATGGTTTGGATCATTCCAAAGCTACTGTTCTGTTGTTGTAGTGGTGAATGCTTTGTTTTTTTAAATTGCTTTGGAGTAGTTTTTACGCATTCGGATTTCTAACATCCGAATTAATTAAATTTACTTTTTTAAATTAAAGCCCCCTGCATTCGGAAATGGCATGTTCCGAATCAAATCAAACTGTTCATTTTCAGAGCAACCTATTTCATTCGGAACTGGGAGTTCCGAATCCCGTGTTTTGGTACCCTAAAGGAACTCCCGTGTTTTGGCATGACATGTTCGAAACTACCGTTGTTTCGTCATTCTCTCTAAAAAACATGTTACTCCTATTTTGGAATTTCAAAACATTTTTACTCCTATTTAGGGCAATTTCTGTACTTCGTATTGCTCAACGCTTCAGCAAAATATATCAGCCAGCCATATATCACGTCTCCGCCAGGGAATTTAAGTAGTTCATATAAAGGAAGGAAAAGGAGTTAAAGAATCAAGCTTTTGCTCCACCATCCACTACGAGCCAGTTTGAACTTTGAATATGAGCATTCTTATTTCCTTCATTCTATGTATACGGATAGCTGCAATTCATGTTTCTTCTTCAACGCCGGGTGCCATTTATGAATATGAAGTCCACAATCGTTACTCAACAAAGGTGGTGAGCATATTCGGGAAGCATGGGTTGCCACAGAAGGGAAGTCAGGACTACATATCGGCTTTGCTCCGACGTGACTCCGGTAGAGCACATTCTACACCCGGAGTCACCTTCCCGTCGGGTGATGCGGTTGTGCAATTAACTGAACTATCATCGTAAGTTGGTTATAGGTATATGTGTGTGTGTAAATATATACTCTGTAGTATTTATAAATACTAATTAGTATGTACATATGTAAATTAATTTAATTCAAAACCCTAATAATTTAATAATAAGACTAGCATTCCCCCGATCTGCTTTAGTATGCATAGGATTGTACTGGTCTTTGTGATAACATGCAATAACTGAGTTGATCAGAAGTGACTTTTTTACGAGGAAATGATAAAAACACGGAGTTTCCAACAAGTCATCATGCAAAAGGACGGGAGTTCCGAAAACACAGGATTTGGAAGGTGGCGTTTCGAGTGAACGGTGACACTTGGATTCAGAACTGCATCTTTCGAATGGAGGGACTGATTTTTTTAAAGTAATGAATTTAATGGTTGGAAGTAGGGGTGGGCATAAAACCCGAACCGAACCGGCCCGTAATAGTACCGAACCTAATACCGGGTATTCAAATGGTTCTATAAATTTTTATCCCGAACCGAAACCGTACCGTTTGAAACGGGTACGGGACCGGTCCTAGAAATTGAGTACCGAAAAATACCGAACCGGACCGTTCAAAAATAATGCATTGAATTTTTTTATATTTAACCCATACCAATAAATCTATTTTATAGACCAACAATTTTATAGCTCAAGTATGTATTCATGTGTCCCTAAAATAGCTAAATGTTTATATATATATTGTTATTTTTTCGTTTTAGATAATTTATATTATATTTTTGTATGTATTAAAAGAATGTTAAAGTTTTAGAAATCATTAATAACTATTCATGTCTAGTAATGTAGTGTATACAACTTTTTGTTGTATCACGTTTGTGCAATTTAACAACTTAATTAATACTCCCTCCGTCCCTGAATGTTGTTCCAATTGCGGATTACGAAGGTTGACCGACGATAAAGTTAAATGATCCCTGTGAAAACTCGGATTATTTTTAGTAAATAAAATTTACATATTCAGAAACTACATTAAACCCGCTACAAAGCCTGCAAAAACAAATCAATTTTCATAAAGTTTTGATACAAAAAGTAAGAGTTTAAGAGTGATTTAAGTTGACTCTCGAAAAGCGAAAAGGAAGTAAATTTAGGGACAAAGGGAGTATGGTTTAAATCTTAACTCTCGCGGTTCAACTATTAATTTAATTAGAACTAATACTTAACCTAGAACAATGAAGAACATTGATTTTTCTGTTATATTCATTAATTTGATGAATTTTTTTTTTTATATTTTCAAGTGAACTTTGTAAATTAAAGATGATATGTATCTCGTTTATCGTCATTTTGCTATACTTTTTTTAGTTGTGTTGCATTATTTGTGAATTGTAGAATTGTAGTACTACGTAAGCAATTTCTTGTAACATTTTATGTGAATTGGTTGGTGTGATGAATCTACTAATTGCAAAATGTTTCAAAATTTTTAGCATGTGTTTCACATTGTACCGTACCGTTTTATACCGTTCTGAAACAACATGGTACCGAATGGTTCCATCCTTAGAACCGGACCGTACCAGACCGTTAGAAACCTCACGAATACATTACGGGTTTTACTAATTTACCAGACCGTTCCGGACCGCGCCCGCCCCTAGTTGGAAGCGGATATCCGAATATAATGGCTACAAAGCAACTTAAAAACAAAACAAAACACGCACCCACTAATTCGGTCACATATTTCCAAATGCCAACAAAAGCATAACTCCAGACCTTTAGTTAGAGACTTGGAGTTATAAGAATCTACTAGCCATTTTTTATATGATAAAAAAATATTATATTATTTTTTTATGATAAAAAAATTATATTAATTTTTTATTATTTTGTTACGGATTTATTATAAATTAATAAATTCGGAAGATCAAGTTCCAAACTACGTATTTTTAGAAGCCCCTTATTTTTCCCTGTCGTTTTGCCCCATGTTTTTGCACTGCATGTTCACTTTTCCCATGTTTTGGGAAAACACCCCTTCCCAAAACACCCTTTTTTACACGTTTAATACAATGTGTAGGGGAAGGATGTTAATTTTAGGACGGTTTTCGGTCCAGATCAAACACTAGTTTTTTAAAGTTAAATGGTTATATAGTACACAGAAACCATACATTTATCAGACCAGACGTGTTCAGACTAGACCAGAAAACATCCTTAACAATATAATCTAAAGGGTTAGTTATTGGTTGATGACGTGCACTTTGTCGTGGTGTGCACTCAAAATAATAATACAATACAACACTTATACGTAGTATAATGAAGTAAGGTTCGTATCCACAGGGAAAGGAATACTTCTCTCTTCATAAACTAGTAACAAAAGGGGGGGGGGGGGGTTTAGATCGAGTGAATGAACTTAAATTATATTTAAACACGAAGATGAACGAGTTATGTGGTTTAATTAATAAGAAGGAGACTTGGCTTTGCTTTTATCCACTTAATGAAATGTTCATCGATCCCGGTTATATCTTTAACTATCTTCCTCTCGAATACTCAATCGAGGAGTATATCCAGTTCATCGAGGGTAGTTATTAATAACGAGAAGCGTTCATTAATAAAACTTACTATCGAGTCAATATAGAACAAGCGCCGTATATTAACTTGATAGTAGCAATAAACTTAAGATGAAAACGATTGAGATTGATAACCTCAGCACAAGCGGTTTATTGGTTTAATCAATATAATTAATTCCCCTTAGATTATTAACCATGAGAGGACCGAATTAATAACAAGCGTATTAATTGACCGATTCTAGTATTAATTAATATATGAAACAAAACTAGTTGATCCTTTAGGTAATGTTCAAAATATTAATATGAAATATGAATAGGAATTAATTAATACTCAAGAAAGAATATTAAAGAAGATGAATCCTACTATAGTTAATATCAAGATGTTAACTAATTGTCATCTTAGTAACACTCCCTGATATTAACGTAGAAGAAGAAATAATTATTACTATAACTAATGTCAAGATGTTAACTAATTGTCATCTTAGTAACACTCCCCAACATTGATATAGAAATAGTGTTTAAAGGAAGAGTTAATATTCAAGGAAGAAGATTAAAGAGAATAACTCACAACTTACAAATTCATTAAGCTTCAAAGTAGCAAAACCAAGATGGAAGAGTTTAGCTCCTCATTTGGAGACTAAACATGAAGAAAATATAAAGAATTAACTTGTCTAAACTGAGCTTAGAAGTATATAGGAATTGGTGATTTATTGTGGAGGAAATGGGGTGTATTTATAGGATTTTTAGGCCTGCAGGGTCGTGTACTCGATCGGGTATATAGGGTACTCGACCGGGCCTTCAGTTGCTTCGTGGAAGCTGGAAAAATGTGGATATACCCGATCGAGTATGTCGGCTACCCGATCGGGTATGGACACTCGATCGTGGTCAAAATCTCCCCTGCATGTTGCCTTGTTCCCGGTTTGATCCGATTTGATTTTTCAGCGACTTACCCGATCGAGTATAGGTCATACTCGACCGGGTACAACACCAAAATTCAGGATCTTCATTTTTTCTTGGACTTTTTGCACCTTCCTTCCACTTGTGATGTTCACCAATGATCCCTAGAGTGGTCTTGGACCTGTTTGAGCTCAGAATCAACCTAATCTAAACAATTTTACAAACATTTTACAAACTAAACTATTACACCAAAAGTGTGTAATTTCTAGAGTAATAATCACTCAAAACTAGTCAAAAACACAAATATAAATATGGAAATAACATGAATGTCAGTTGATTAATTATTTTGGCACTCTCGGAACTTAAATTAATTTAGTCCAGTAAATCAAATTAAATCAAAGACTTTCTTGGCAGAACTATATACTCCGTAATAATGAAATAGTAGGTTCTCGACCAAGCCTAGCTATGAAGGTATGAATCATTCTAATTTTTCTAATTCCATGCAATACGTACTTTGCAGTTTACATTTTGCCGAAGTGTTCATTGGTACTCCTCCTACTCCGTTCATGGTCTCCCTTGACACGGGAAGCTCGCTCTTGTGGATCCCGTGCAACTGCAAACAATGCATACGTAACTTGACCCTCAACAGCGGAGAGGTGTGTCTGATATTCGATCTCTAGCTAAGCTAGCTATTTAATTTTAATTTGAACACTTTTGATTAAAACAATTTTTATTCATCAGCCAGTATACAGTATATATATAAATATCAAAGATTTCAAATAAAAAGAACTCTTCCCCTGCAAAGTGCGAAAATTGCACTTTTACACATTTTTCTTGCACTTTTTGGTGTTTCCGTAGCACTTTTTCGCCTTTTCGATTTTGGGAAAATTCGACACAAACAACGGTGGCAGTTTTGTAAATAAACCAATTTTTTTCACCACCGTGAAAAAGTGCAACGAAAACAAGCAAACGTGCAAGCGAAACGTGTAAAAGTGCAATTTTCAAACTTTGCACGGGAAGAGTACGTTTTATTTGAACTCTCCCCTATATATGTGTGTGTGTGTGTGTTCAAGTAAGGTGATTTTTACAATTCTTTTTATATTCATCAGTCGGTTAAATATTTTAAAAAAATTGCGCAGGTTTTTACATATACATAATGCATTTTTTTCAATACTTTATTTAACCGACTTTCCGATTGAATTTTAATACTACATCCGTCCCAATTTGATTTGCAAATTTGATTTTTCTTGGTCAAACAGTTTCATTTTATTTGCTTAATTAGGATGCCAATTTTTTATTATATTCTGATTTGAAGTTTACATCTTTAAAGAGATTTTAATGTAGTTTCTGAATATATAAATTTTAATTATTAAAAATTAAATTAATTATCGATTGCGGGCATTGACATTTATTATTGGTTGACCAAAAAATGTTGACTTTGAAAAACAATTTGGGACGGAGGGATCGGAGTATGACATTTAGTGGGAATAGTCTACATTTCATGGAAAACATATTCACAAAATTTCATAAAACAATTCGACCTGGAAGCACCTCAAATGAAAGAGACCTAAGAATTACGATTCTTAGGCCTACCTTACTTGAGCATTGTCCTAGACACACACACGGATCCGAGTATAGTACTGTTGCTAATATAATCTATCTTTTTGTTTGTTTTATTTCATATTTTTTGACTGCCCGGATCCCCCTCTTGCATGAACAGATAATAAATTTAAATATTTATTATCCCGACGTTTCATCCACGCAAAAAAACATTGGCTGCGACAACCCAAAATGCATCTCTAGAGGAAACTCTTGTCCATCTCCAAACATTGGATGCCCCTATGAGATCCACTACATGGATGGATCTTCCACCAGTGGGGTGCTTATAAGTGACATGATGCGGCTGAGTACTTACGAGATGCAACCCACAAATATTCAAGTTGAAGTGACATTCGGGTATTTATGCAATTGCGGCCAGGAACACTTTATTTTGATTAATCCATATATGCAAATGATGAAGTCATGATTAGTACTAATTACCTAGCTTAGGCTCGGGAACAATGATTGATAAACACAAGACATGTTTATATATATATATATATATATATATATATATATATATATATATATATATATATATATATATATATATATATATATATATATATATATATATATATATATATATATATATATATATATATATATATATATATATGGAGCGGATCAGGTGAGAAGTGCTCTTAGGCTGAGAACTGCGAAGTTAAACTTATAGACTAAATATAGGAACTTTTAAGTAATAAATCATAACTTATAGGCCCATCGAAAATAATTACGAAAATGCCACCGCAAAAAAATAATTACAGAAACCTGGAAATTTTTTTGACGCGGTGGCATTTTCGTAATTATTATGGAGAGATTTATAAGTTATGATTTATTGGTTATAAGTCCCTATATTTAGTCTATAAGTTTACTGTGTTGTAAAATCAAATGCAAATCCAAGGGCTAAGATTACTTCTCACTTCTCATTTTAAGGGGCACTTCTCACATGATCTTTTCCCTATATATATATATATATATATATATATATATAGAGAGAGAGAGAGAGAGAGGAATGATCCTGTCCAGCCGGAGGGACAGGATCTTCCGTCCGGCCGCCGCCGTTTGGGGCGGTTCCCGGTGGATTTTTTTGATGAAATTTTTATGGAATGTTCCTCATCAAGTCTAGTTTATCCACAAAAAATTTCAGATAAAAATTCGATCGGGAAGTCAGTGAAATAATTTTTTGTGGATAAACTAGACTTGATGAGGAACATTCCATAAAAATTTCATCAAAAAACTCCACCGGGAACCACCCTAAACAGCGGCGGCCGGACGGAGGATCCTGTCCCTCCGGCTGGACAGGATCTTTTCCGTATGTATACACACACACACACACACACACACACACATCTACATATTATATAGAAGAATAATCAGGTCCATCCGGAGGGACGGGAGGTGCTGTCCGAACTTTACTGTTTGAAGTGGTTCCCGCTGGAATTTTTTGATGAAATTTTTTGATCATGTTCCTCATCAAGTCTAGTTTATCAATACCAAATATCAGGTCAAAAGTCGATCGGGAAGGCATTCAAATAAATTCTTGAAACATACTGCACATTATATGTGCGCAGAATGTGCAGTATGTTTCAAGAATTTATTTGAATGCCTTCCCGATCGAATTTTGACCTGATATTTGGTATTGATAAACTAGACTTGATGAGGAACATGCTCAAAATATTTCATCAAAAAATTCCACCGGGAACCGCCTCAAATAGTAAAGTTCGGACGGAGCCTCCCGTCCCTCCGGATGGACCTGAGCATTTCTGTACATATATATATATATATACATATATATGCACACACATATATATATACAAATATGTGTATATATATATATGTGCATATATATATATATATACATATATTCGAGAGTTCTAGAAATATATATATATATATATATATATATATATATATATATATATATATATTGTAAACATGAAAAATAGTGGGTAAGTTTTGTACATGTAACACTTGAATACAATTATAGTTATTAAAGCTACTAGAGTCACATTTTTATCCACTACTTTAATTTTACTTATATATTTGCAATTATTTTGAAAATATATTTTTCATAAAATATTACTAATAAAAATCCCTGGACAAAAATGTAAGTATAAGTTACTGAGTAAGTTTTATACCCACTATATATGATGTAAAACTTGAATATGATTATAATCATTAAAGTTACTAGAGTTACATTTTTATCTACTACTTTTATTTTATATATGTTTTTGTAATTATTTTGAAAAAAATAACGTGAAAATAGACATTTTCTATTAAACAAGAAAAGGCAGTTGTCATGGAAACTCCACCCCCGTTATTAAATAACTGCAACATAATGAATTTTACACTATTTATATGTTCTACTTTGACTCCCTTCTATTTATTAAATGTATTAACCGATTTTTTTAACAAATATCGTCAGATTTGCTTTATCATAAATTTTCAAAATCTGAAAATTTAATTTTTTTTATAATAATAGAGAATTAAATAGACTAATGGTCAATGTTGTGCAAGGAAAAGGTGAAAAGTGGAGTTTTACAGTTATTTAAGAAAAGAGGTAGTATATATAGATCAAACAAAACAACTCACCGTACATGAATTGATATTATTTTTTATTATTGTTTTTTGTGCATTTTTAGGTGTGCATCCCAGGTCACCGGTTATTTGCTTGGCATTGCATCTGTCAATGGGTTATTGGGCCTGGGTCCGGGTAATGAACCCGATAATACTGACGTCCTCACGACCCTTGCTTCTACGGGAGTTGTCGGAAATTCCTTCTCTTTGTGCTTCTCGCCCAATGGCAAAGGAAGATTAGTGTTCGGAGACATAGGCACGCCATATAGGAGAGAAGCACATCTAGACTTTACGCAAAAGAAGTAAGATTCACCACTCTCACTATATTCTTCTCATTCCCCGACAAAACGTCTAGGGACAAACAAGTAACACGAATGCATATTTTATAAGTTTCGCATATGCATTTGCCTTTATAGATCTTTAATTATTAATATGTAATACTTGTATGTGTTAGGGAATCTATATGTAACATTGTAACCTTCCTCGACATTAGAGTAACAAAAGAATAATTTTTTTCCCCGGACAGATATCGAGCTCAAACGATGACTGAATAATACAAATACCACATGATAATACAAGAACAAGTAAATTGATATCGATTAATATCAGGTCACGGGTCAACCCAGACCCGACGGGTTAACCCGGTCAACACCGGAAAAGCCCGGTCAACATTTATAGAAATTGATAATAATAAATGTATATTAAATACTTGTAATACGTAGGTCAGTACCTAACCGGACCAGAATCAGTGCCGGTTCACCGGTTTCTCGGTCAATCCCGACCGGTCGTTTCGGTTTATCACACACTAAAAGAGCCGCATTCATTAATAATTACTAGATCGTGAGGGGTGCACTTGGCAAATTGGATGAGGACTTACTGCGTTTTAGCCGCATTCATTAATAATTACTAGATCGTGAGGGATGCACTTGGCAAATTGGATGAGGACTTACTGCAGGAACACTTGAGTTCGATTTCGGGTTTAGCCATCTTTGTAGGTCAATACCTATTCGGACCGGAATCAGTGCCGGTTCACCGGTTTCTGGGTCGATCCCGAATGGTCGGTTCGGTTTATTACACACTAAAAGAGCCGCAATCATTAATAATTACTACATCCGTCCCAAAGTGATGATCATGTTACTCCTGTATTTCCTATTTGGGATATCCCAATATGATAGCAACATTCCGCTTTTTTGGTAAAGAACTTAAAGTAGACTACCATTTATATCTCTCCTTTTTTATGAACAGTAAAAGTAAAGGAATGAACAATATAATGTAGTAGGGTTATATGGGTCATTCCACCACTTTTTTTAATATTTGAGCCCAAAAAGTATAGGACCATAGGACCATCAGTTTGGGACGGAGGGAGTACTTATTTTGTTTTCCCAAGCGTGCGACACTTATGTAAGCAAAAGCGCCTCCATTATTTTAAAAACAATGCAACCAGAGGCGCCACATTACCCACATACATTAGTTACTAGTTTTCAAGCCCGTGCGATGCACGGGAAGTGTGGATTTAGCTAGTTTTAAATTAGATTTTTTTCGGGATTCTATATAATGTGCAAAATGAAATTAAACCCAATCTAATATAGAGTCTGTATGATAATACTAAAAATTTTCAAATTAGCTTATTTTTCAGAAATTGATTAAATTGTGGTTGAATGGGATGAGTAGGTGAAATCTCCCGAATCATGAAAAAAAATATAAAAAATATATTCAATTTTTAAAACAAAGAAAAAATTATATGAAAAATATTTAATATGATCTTTTACACAAGCATCTCAAGTAAACATAATTGTTTTTTTTGGAAAAAGTAAACATAATTGTTATCAATCCGATTTTGAAGAATTCATAATCTCACGTCCTCAAATTTACTTTATTATGCACCTGAAGTTTTTCTTTCTAATATTCCTCATCCAACTAGATATGAAATACTGAGTACATACTTTTAATTTTTAATAATAAGATGTTACATTTTACTAATTATTTCATCACATTGAAAACGGGTTTGATGTACCAAATCTCCTCTTGAAATATAAATTCGGCGCATTAGCCCTATGTGATTTAAAAAATGCGTCAAACCCCCTTGTATTTTAGTTATTCGTGCACACAAACCCCTCCAAGAACAAATTTTACAATTTTGAAATAACTTTTCTTAACAATATGATTGAATATGCAAGTAACTTTGTCAACATTTCTAAATTATACAAAAAACTAATCATTTTTCATTCATTTGGCAATTAAATTTGTTCATACAATGGGTTTTACGCATGAATAACTATAACACAAGGGGGGTTGATGCTTTTTTTAAATCACAGGGGGCTAATGCGCCGAATTTATATTTCACGAGGGGGATTGATGCATTAAACCCCATTGAAAACATAAAAAAATGGAGTTTTTTTTTTACATTTTACTCTTTATTGTTTTACAAAGAAAACAATTTTAAATTGTTATGAACGCCTAAATTACTCTATTGAGCATTTCAAAATAATATTTTTCTAATATTTCTCATTCAAATTGGTATGAAACGCGTATTTTTAAATTTTAATAATGAGATCTTACATTTTAATCATTAATAAGAACATTTTTAATTGAATTAAAAGTTTGGGTTTGATTTGGTTTGAATTAATATGGTCCTGTAGATGTCTATTTTACGTTTTATGTGACTTGTTATTATTATTATTATTATTATTATTATTTATTATTATTATTATTATTATTATTATTATTATTATTATTATTACTATTACTATTACTATTACTATTACTATTACTATTACTATTACTATTACTATTACTATTACTATTACTATTACTATTACTATTACTATTACTATTACTATTACTATTACTATTACTATTACTATTACTATTACTATTACTATTACTATTACTATTACTATTACTATTACTATTACTATTACTATTACTATTACTATTACTATTACTATTACTATTACTATTACTATTACTATTACTATTACTATTACTATTACTATTACTATTACTATTATTACTATTATTCTTATTCTTATTCTTATTCTTATTATTATTATTATTATTATTAAATTTTGATCTGGTCTGATTTAGGGTGGAACTGAAGTCAATCCAATAAAAAACACTATTGAAAAAAGTAAGGAATTTGTAAACATATAAAGATTTCCAAATTTGGATTACGAATATATTTCATAAGTGAAGGCATATTTAAATTGTAGTTGTAAAAATAAAGAAACAACCAAACATATTTACTTTTTTTTGCTATATAGGCTAAAGGTATTTACTTATGAAAATATATATACATATATACATACATATATGTGTGTGTGATATCAATTTTCATAGAATGTACAGAGTAATACGTAGTAAAAAATAAAAAGTATAAAAAATAATCTCTTGTACGTTACTGTGTGAGCCAGTGCTTAAAATTTAGTTATTAATTGTTGTGGTTCCAATTACTAAATTTAAACTTATCAAATACGTAATAGATTTTGAATAGTTACCAAATTAAATAAGGTGAATTTTTACGGTCTTTTGTTTCCATACTAATATGCAATCAAAATTAGAATCTAATAAAAATGAAAGGTATAAAAATAACTAAATAATTGTTATATAGAATGACAAGGCATGATTATATGGCGCTTTGAAAGCTCTTTAAAAGTTCCTCTTATATATATTGATTACTTATTTTCACAATACCCTTTTTATTACTCCGTATATAATCTATCACCTGGAAGAATCAATGAGTGATGTAGCATATATGGGCGGGGTTCCGCTAAACACAAATAAAATTACCCAAGAAAAAGCGCGCTAAGCACCAATTTGCTAAAATATTAGTAGAGGTTGATGTGTCCCCCACCCCCTCCCCCACCTCATTTCTCATATGTGTACCATCCGGGAAGGTTATTAAGCAATTAGTGGCATACAAAACTTTCCCAAAATTTTGATTTCATTGCAAAGAATATGGTCATCACCCATTTATTTACAAAAAGTTTGCGGAGAAATACGGGGAAAGACAAGGTGATCCCTAAGAACACAGAAGTTTTGGTTGAAGAAACACATGATGAGGTTGGAACCTTGGTAACTCAACAAGAGAAAAAGTATGAGGTACCGGAAAGCTCAGATCCCGAACAACAAATTGAAGAGGCAATTGAGGACAGCCTGGACGAGACAATAGATCCAAATCATGCACAGGTGATGGCATAAGCTAAGAAACATGTTACCCTAGAGATTTCCCTCGAGGACCACCCGATGACCAAGACTCAGGAAAAAAAAAGTCTTCAGGATGAAGGGGAGTATTTTGTCTACCCAATCTACTCAAACTATAACTCGCCTGAAAAACTATTTAATTAGGTTCAAATAAAAATAACTTTTTTGTGAGATATTTATAGTTGATTTTTAGAAATTTATTTACATTCAGATATTTTTATATTAACAACATTTTAAACTAGAAAAAATATCATACGAATGACTCAAAGATGTTACGTTCAACTAGTAGGAAATATAGTTACACATATATTGAATTGATAGTTAACATGCATGGTTATGAAAAGATACATTATTGAGTATAGTCAAAGTCAAATTATTTCAATTTTTTATGGACGTCTAAATAATTGTTATTCGTATTACTTATATGTATGTAGTACTGCAATTTGTAATTTTTATTTACTCAGGATCAATACTATACTTATTGACTAGCTTTTGTTTGTTCAACTCATGCAAGCAGTCAAGGTTACAATGTTTGGATCACACAAATTGCAGTGGATGAGATTGTCTTGAATGTTGATTTCCCGTCAATATTTGACTCCGGTACATCGTTCACATCATTAACTGACCCGGCATACTCTTTCATTACTCAAAGTGTAAGTGCATCGTTGTGATGCTTTATGCTTAGATGCATCATGCATGCATGTTATTTGTTTCTAATACGGAATAATAATTGATTTGACCATAAGTAAAACTTCAGGAGGACTGATATCTTATCTTATATAAACACACACACACAGTTCGATTCCCAAGTAAAAGAGCAACGCAGACAACAATCTGATTGGAGTTTTGAGTTTTGCTATGATTTGAGGTACGTCATACCTGGACTTTATGTTGTGATTGTTTTCCAAATGCATTCATATAAAGTATACAATTGCCTTAAAAGAGGAGCAAGAAAAATGTTGTTTCCCACAAGTATTATGATCCCCTAAACGAGGGCCCCGGATTAACTGACGTTTGGCCGGAGGTTCGACAGGAAAATATAAACACGGGACACACACTGCACACACAAAATATGGTGGAGGAGAACTCACTTGGGTATACTTCATTTGTATACATGGTGGCCCTTATATACAGGCAATACAAAAGACAAGATAATTAATTAAACACAAGGTTCTAACTCTTTATAATTTCCCAAGACATCAACTTCCCATGTAACTTTATTTCACATGCAACATAATTAATGCTATTAATTATTATTGTTACAATTAAGATTAACTAAGCCCAACAAATTTCTCCCCTCAGCTGAATTCTCTTATGTCTCTTAGTCTGAGCTCTATCTTGCAATTTTCAAGTTTTGCAATCGGCAACGCCTTTGTAAGAACATTCGTTGTTTGATCTTTGCTTGGTACGTGTGTCAATACAACCCCCATTTTCTTCACTTGTTCTCTGATGAAGTGAAACGACACATCTATATGCTTGCTCGTCTCGTGATACACTAGATTTTTTGCTAGCCAAAATGCTAACCGCTTGTCTATTCTTATTTCCGTCAGTTCCTCCCCGCCGAGCTGAAGCTAAACGACGATTTTTCTCAACCAAACTGCATGCCTTACACAGTATGACACAACTACATACTCGGCTTCAGACGTAAAGAGTGATGATTGGTTACTTCTTTGATAGCCATTGAACACCGTTCTCCCAAGCTGAATACATATAACCTGTTTTGCTATTACGATCATCAACATCACCTCACCAATCACTGTCGGAATATCCGACCAATTTTGACTCGGTCAACCTCTTGTACATCAGACCGATCGACTTCATTCCTTGGACGTATCTAAGGATTCTTTTATCTCCCATGGTTCTTTCATGGAGCGACCGATCACTCCCACACTGAACGTTATGCCTAGCCTTGTACATGCATGTTAGATATCTAAGGCAACTCACCGGGCTTCGGCACAATCTTGCATCAATTCGGTCTCCTTCCCCAAACTTTAAAAATTTGGTTCAAGTCTCCATTGGTGTTCTAACCGGCTTGCAATCCTCCATGTTGTATCTCTTCAAAATCTCCATTGCGAAAGCCTCGTGACAGATAAAATTTTCAATCTCAGTTTGTTTCCTATCCAAAACCAGAAAATATTCCATTAGTCCCAAGTCTGTCATCTCAAATTCTATCCTCATTACCTCCTTGAACTCTAACACCATTTTCTCATCTCCCCATGAATATTAGGTCATCCACATAGAGTGCATCGAACATGACACTGAACTTTTCATTCTTAACATTTATGGTGTACATTTAACTTAACGAATTCAGCACTGAATAGTTTTTGTTTCAAGACATTTAAAATATAAATGGGTATGTTTAGTCTTGTTGCGATATTAGGACCTGATCCAACACAGGCCCAAATATCCCTAAGATGCCCATATCTCCTATGGTCCGGAAGGCATAAACATTCGGCTCGTGACAGACTGCGCAGTATCAGCGGTACGGGCAATACCATATGGCCGGTTTTCCCCACTTGAGTTATTTTTCCACTCCTGCAAGCTAACTATGGCGGAATGTCCCCCAGACAGTTGGCGGGAAACCTCATAATTGGTGGTAAGCGCGCGCATTTAATGCAAGACATATGGAAGATTTTATGGTTGTGAGAATATCCACTCATGGTCGGTCATGTCACCCTCTCTAACTACTCACTCATAGTATAAATATCAGCATTTATTTCATTATAAAGGTTGATAGACAATTTATAAGTTCTCGCAAGTGCACAAGTCACGGTATTATAGTGCTCAAGTAAGAAAAATATCCACGAAGAAAATGCAACAAAATATTGGAAAATGGTTAAGGGTATGTTTAGCACAACTAGCTGAAAAGATACTTTTGGGAGCTTTTTAGTAAGTGTTAGCTTTTAGTGACTGAAAAGATCTTAAAAAGAAAAAGTTGTAGCTGTTTGGTAAAAAGCTGACTGTTAGATTTAGATTTGTTGGGTATACAAGTTGTTAGGACAAATTAACACTAAAAGTCACGGACTTTTCTCGGATGGCACTCCCGGTAGCATCTCAAAAAAACTCTTTTATATTTTGAAAAGCTCTTAAAATTTGTCATGTCAAACATACAATTAGAAGCTTTTAGAGACTTTTTAAATAGTACACGAGTTAGAAGGCAAAGACTTTTGTCTACCAAACATGCACTAAATAGAAATGGAATTAAATTAACTAAAGAAATGAGTTTTCTATTTGTTGAGTTGAAACTGAAAATGTAAAGCTTGAATTAAAATGAATGCCGGGAATATAATTGAATAAAAATAAAGTGATTAAATAACTAATGAAAAAACGATTGAGAACTTAACAAGAGAAAAGATAGTCCAGGATTATGATTCTGTCACTACTTTTTAGTATTTGTGATTTAGTTAGTCAATTAGAGTTGAGAGTTCGTTCTAGACAAAAATATTATTCCGTATGTCATCCAGAATAAGTCATTCATTTTAACTATTAATCAATAAAGGGTTATTAATTAAATAGTTAAAACTCATTATTAAAAGAAGAATTACTAAAACTCGATTTAAGAATCAAATAGATAATCATAACCTAGGACCTGAAATTGACCTGAAATTGAGATTTACGAACACTCACGGCTAAATTGATCCAAAAGAGCTTGAACTATATAGGCATGGCATGTACTCTATTAATATACTAATAGTCTGAAACAATTTTACTAATCATACTAAAGTGACCTGAAATTAACGTAATCAATTAAGAGAATATGAACAATGGATAAAACTCAATCAATTGATATAACTAAAATCACAATTAATACTAAATCATAGCAACTTCATCATAACCTAGGACTTAAGAATTTAGCTGCGCTACTCATACCAAAATGCTTCTTGATTAAAACAGAGTGAAATTGCATTCATCTCAACCGTTATAATGAGCCAAAGAATTAATAGTAGAGAAATTGGTAATCTAATTTTACTGAGTTGAAGGAAAAACTAGACAAAGTATTACTGACAAATAGTTCCGGTTAAGATAAAACTAACTGCTATGGAGATGGGAAAAATCATCCAGGTCGGCTGCCACTGTGAAATCAGAACCTTTTACTCAGCCATTGAACAGTTTCGAAAACTGCCGATCGTCTCTGCTGCATTCTTCTTCCAGTCCAGCTTATCCTCCCCCTTTTAGCTTCCGCAATCTTTCCTCCGTATATCCGGAAGAGAGAGTGATCGAGTTTTGTTCCTTAATTTTCGGCTATGGGACTCCTCTTTCCGTTTCACTTCTCCCGCAAACTTTGTTGCCGTTTGAGTTCTCGTCACTGCCCTCTTCTCTCCCGATTTCGATTTTTTTTTTAAGAATTATTTGCCATAAGGAAACCTAGCTCCTCCGTGCAGGTCTCTTTTCTTAAGAAAAGTTTTATTATCTTAAACAAAAGTTAGTTATACGGAGTATTAAACTTTGTAGTACTCGGATTCAAACAAAGGAGAGGTAGGGGCCGGCATAGCTAGAGAGAAGTCCATCTAGACTCTGGCCGTTTATGTATAATCCTTGTTCATGTCTTTTTGATGCAGTGAAAATCAATCATCATATCGGGTGCCTTTATTAAGTTTCAGAATGACAGGTGGAAGCACATTTGATGTGCTTTTTCCAACGCTGAACTGGACTCTGGATTTTGAGGTACTTCCGGTTATCAATTATCATGCACCGTGCATATGTCGCGATTAACTTGTAGATACTTTCTATACAAAAGAACTCGAACATTATTTACTGTCACTCTGTAGGTTGACGGAACTTTTTACTGCCTAGCAATTTCAAAGAGTAAGGATGTGAACATCATTGGACGTAAGTACTAAAAATTGTGTATTAATACTAGGTTATGATTTAGTGTCACAACTAAAATCACAATTTAGTATTAATTGCTATATGATAATGTTAACTCATTATTTCCTCAGAAAACTTCTTTATCGGATATAATATGATATTTGATCGCGAAAAACATGCCTTAGGATGGGAACCATCGACCTGTAAGTTTTCAACCTTAACCTTAGCTCGCCACCTCATACTTTTGTGTGATATATATCCCTAGTAAGATAACCAGAGTCATCGTCTAATAAATTTCACCATTTTCCACTTGCAGGTGAAAAGAATCAATTCAACATCACTACGTATCCTAGCAAAGGACGAAGATGTCCTCACCAAACTTCTGTTGCGATCATAACAATAGTGGTTGTTTTGGGGTTTCTAACAAGACATTTGTAAGGCTGACAGACAATGGATAATGGCTTCAAACAAAACTCACAAAATAGGATAGTTTTAGTACTTTAGCCTTCAGTACATATAGTAGCTAGTCCTACTAATCAGTGTTTCCATTTTGCAATATAGAGTTTTTTCAAGTCCTATTTTTAATTGCTCGAGATTGCTTGTTTGAGTTGTTTCTGGGACAAAAATATATTCCAAACTTCATTTTCTTCAAGTAAATTTTTTAAAGGGAAGTTCTATTCACAACCCTTGAATTGCTAACCACAGCCACAAAATTAAATAATAAAAAATAAAAATAATACAAATATCTTAATTTCCCTTAATTTATTTAACAATCGTTAAGTGAGCGTTGTTAACCTTGCTACACGAAGGCTTGAAAAACCTGGAAGCGCGGCAGGACAGAAACAATCGCAGAAACCTCGGAAGAAGCGCAAAAGGCCAGAGAAGTAGAAACCATAGAAGGGAGAAAGCAAGAAACGCTGAAAATTCGATCAGCCAATATTGATAAAATTGTAAAGTATTCTAAAAGTGCGAAACTGTTGAAAAAGAGAAAACCCTTCACTAAAAGTGAGATGCACATAACATGCATGTCTTACATTGAATATACGAATTACACATATATCACTACTAGAAAAATGTCTTACAGTGACACCAAATTAGTGTCACTAAAAGCTTCTGTGACACTAAAAAAGTGTCGCTGAATGATATGCACTAGTTAGTAGTGCATAAATGTATGTTTTTGTGTTTATTTTGTGTGGATTGTTTACCCGTGTTAGTTAGTTTTTAAGCAATCGTGTTCATTTGTTTGTAATTGATTTTAATCATTTTTAGTAAGTTGTAAAGTAGTAGTAGAGTTATTGGCAAGGAAAAGAAGTGAAAAGAAGAAGAAAAATACCCAGGTGCACAGACTCGGCCGGGTCAGACACTTTACCTAGGCGGGTTTGATTTAACACATGCAGGTACTCAGGAAATTACATCACCCAGTCGGGTGAGGTATTTCACCCGGTCGGGTCCAACTTGACCCAGAACACCAGAACGTGCCGAAGATCACCAGAACGTGGAGGATATTTGATTTTGACATGCACCCGGTCGGGTGGGCACTTTACCCGGTCGGGTACCCGGCCAAAGGTGTTGAAAAACACCTTTAAATAGCCCCATTTTCCTTCACTTTTGAACATCCCTCCTTCTATACTCTTAAGCTCAGTTTAGAATAGTATTTCTTTTATATTTTTATAGCATGTTTAGTCTCCAAATGAGGAGCTAAACTCTTCCATCTTGGTTTCGCTACTTTAAAGCTTAATGAATTTGTAAGTTGTGAGTTATTCTCTTTAATCTTCTTCCTTGAATATTAATTCTTCCTTTAAATACTATTTCTATATCAATGTTGGGGAGTGTTACTAAGATGACAATTAGTTAAAATCTCGACATTAATTATAGTAATAGCTATTTCTTCCTCTATGTTAATATTGGGGAGTGTTACTAAGATGACAATTAGTTAACATCTTGATATTAACTATAGCAAGATTCATCTTCTTTAATATTCTTCCTTGAGTATTAATTAATTCCTATTCATATTTCATATTAATATTTTAAACATTACTTAAAGGATCAACTGGTTTTGTTTCATATATTAATTATTACTAGAATTGGTCGATTAATACGCTTGTTATTAATTCGGTCTTTTCGCGGTAGTAAACTTGGGTTATTAATGCATGCGTTTCATGGTTAATAAACTAAGGGGAAATAATTATATTGATTAAACCAATAAACCGCTTGTGTTGAGGTTATCAATCTCAATCGTTTTCATCTTGATTTTATTGCTACTATCGAGAGAATATACGGCGCTTGTTCTATAATTAACTCGGTAGTAAGTTTTATTAATGAACGCGTCTCGTTATTAATAACTACCCTCGATGAATTGGATATACTCCTCGATTGAGTATTCGAGAGGAAAATAGTTAAAGATATAACCGGGATCGACGAACATTTCATTAAGTGGATAAAAGCAAAACCAAGCCTCCATCTCTATTAAAGTAAACCACATAAGTCATTCAACTTAGTGTTTAAATATAATTTTAGTTCATCAAACAAATCTAAAAAACCCCCTTATTACTAGTTATAAAAAGAGAATTATTCCTTTCCATGCGGATACGAACCTTACTACACTATACTACGTATTAGTGTTGTATTGATATTTATTTTGAGTGCACATACGACAAAGTGTACGTCACTGAAGGTGGGGAATAGTGACACTAAAAAAGTGTCACTACAAGTTGTAAGGTGTTAAAGACAGTTTCTTAATTTATTTTAGGAAACACATCCTAGTTGTCTTGGGGTTAGGATTTACTTCTCTATAAATACAAGCTTTCTCCCTTGTAATCAGTGTGTGTGGATCCGAAAATAGCAATAATATTCCTGGCTTGGTAGCGCCCCCAGACGTAGTCATTCGTGGCGAACTGAGTTACCAAATTTCGTGTGTTCTTCGTTATTTTTTTTTCGTGTGCGTAAATTAAATTCCTAACAATTGGCATCAGAGTCCTAGGTTTGAAGGGAGATCTGACAATGGCAGACAATTTGAAGACACCGGTGATGCAGTTTGACGGAACGGATTACGGATTCTGGAAGTTGCAGATTGAAGATTACCTGTACGATAAAGATCTGTATCAACCTCTGGATGATAAGCCAGAAGACATGAAGGAGAGCGATTGGAAGTTTCTGGACAGAAAAGCGATGAGCGTGGTTCGATTATCGTTGTCCAGAAACATCGCCCTACACACTGTCAAAGCAAAAAACGACGAAGGAGATGTTACAGATTTTGTCGGATATGTACGAGAAACCTTCCGCTGTGAACAAAGTTCATCTGATGAAGCGTCTTTTTAACCTGAAGATGTCAGAAGGTACAGGAGTGGTGGATCATCTCAATGAGTTCAATGTGATCACCACACAGTTGAGCGCGGTTGAGATAAAATTCGACTACGAAATTCATGCCCTTATTCTACTGTCTTCTTTCCCAGAAAGCTGGAACGGAACAGTGACTGCAGTCAGCGCTTCGGTAGGGAAAGAGAAACTGAAATTCGATGAAGTCAGAAATCTGGTGGTCAGCGAAGAAATTCGCAGGAAGGAATCAGGCCTGGCTTCTGGATCGGCGTTGAGTACAGACAACCGGGGCAGAACGAAGTCGAAGTCCAAGTCAAATCGGGATAGATCAAGATCCAAATCCAAGTCAAATAGCAAGGGCAAGAAGGACAGAAGTCAGATCAGGTGCTGGAATTATGAGGAGTACGGACACTTCAAGAGCCAGTGCAAGGAGCAGATCAAGGATGAGAAGGAGAAAACATCTGCCAATGCAGCGGCATAATCATCATGTGATGATCTCCTGATCCTGAGCGTGAGCAGTCCGTTGGAGTCATGGGTTCTGGATTCTGGAGCCTCGTTCCATTCATGTGGTAATTCTGAAGTGATGGAACAGTATACTCCTGACAATTTTGGAGAGGTGTATCTTGCTATTGATGAGCCTCTTAAAATTGTCGGGAAGGGGACAGTCCACGTGAAGACTCCGAACGAATGCATGCTGAAATTGAATGACATCCGACACATTCCTGGTTTGAGGAGGAATCTTCTTTCAATTGGGCAGTTGGATGAGGAAGTTTATGCAGTTACATTCGGCAGTAGAAATTGGAAGATCACCAAGGGAGCCTTGCTGGTTGCTAAAGGGAAGAAGGAGGGTACGTTGTACATGACAACGAACTCAAAGGACTGCATCGATGTTGCTGCCGCTGCAACAAACGATGTGAATTTATGTCACTGTCGGCTCGGTCACATGAGCGAAAAAAGGATGAAGGAGCTGTGCTCGAAGGGCAAACTGCCCGACCTGAAGACTGTTGAGCTGTGCTCGAAGGGCAAACTGCATATTCGGGAAGCAGAAATGTGTCAGTTTCTCAAAGGGAAGGCAAGCTATCAAACCGGAGAGGCTGGAACTAGTTCACACCGACCTTTGGGGACCTGCAGAAGTTATGCCACAAGAAAGGTATGGGTTTATTTTATCAAAAATAAATCCGATGCCTTTGATGCTTTCAAGAGGTGGAAAGCTCGTGTTGAGACAGAGACAGGTCTGAAGTTGAACTGCCTTCGATCAGATAATGGAGGTGAGTATGAATTGCATGAGTTCAAGAATTTTTGTGCTGAGAATGGGGTTCGTATGGAGAAGACAACTAAGGGGACTCCACAGCATAATGGCATTGCTGGATGCATGAACATAACACTAAATGAGCGGGCAAGATGCATGAGGTTGAAGAGTGGCTTACCGAAGATGTTTTGGGCGGATGCAGTGAACACCGCGGTTTTTCTCATCAACATAAGTCCAACGATCTCATTGGAGAATGGCGTTCGTGAAGAAAGGTGGCCGGGTAAGGAGGTTAATCTGTCCTATCTCCGCATATTTGGTTGTGTTGCTTATGTTCATATCAGTTCCTTTGACCGAAGCAAGCTAGACGTTAAATCTGTCAAGTGTACATTCGTTGGCTGTGGTGGTGATGACTATGGATACAGATTCTAGGATGATCCGAATAGGAAGATTATTCGTAGTTGAGATGTGGTGTTCAACGAGCAGGTTATGTACAAGGACATATTGAGTGCATCCGATTCTGAGCAAGAAAGTCCGAAGATCATAGAGTTGGATATCTCTAATTCGGGTGGGAGCAAACAGGATCAGAATGAAGAGTTGAGCAGTGATGAGGATCCATTAACCCCTCCAAGGCAGCGACCTGCAAGAAACCGGAGAGCACCAAATAGGTATTCACCCTCTAATTTCTATTTGTTGCTTACTGATGGTGGTGAACCAGAGTCCTATGCAGAGGCAGTTCGGGTTGATGACAAGGGCAAATGGAAACTTGCAATGGATGATGAGATGACATCTCTCACATCCAATGATACTTGGAGGTTAGTTGAGCTACCGAGAGGAAAGAAGGCTTTGCACTGCAAATGGGTCTACCGCATCAAGAAGGAGGCAGATGGTAGCAAACGCTACAAAGCTAGGCTGGTTGTGAAGGGATTCGAGCAGCGGTATGGTATTGATTACACCGACATATTCTCTCCAGTTGTGAAACTTACTACCATTCAGTTAGTGTTGGGGTTAGTTGCTACAGAGAATTTGTTGTTACATCAGATGGATGTGAAGACTGCATTCCTTCATGGTGATCTGAATG